CGTTTTTAGTTAATTTAGGCATGAAAAACCGGTTTCTGAGGCGTGATCATAGAGCTCCCAGATCAGCTTCTCTGATTGGTCCTGAGGTGCTTCTCCTGCTGCTCGAAACTCGCTGCAGGACCTTTAGATGCGCCCTGATGCACGTCAGCCATTGACTTTGCATGTAAACCAGCTGCTCCTGCTGCTTCAGTAGTGTGCAGTCTGAACATAGCATTAGCATTTAAAAACATTTTTCTGGTTAATTCGAAGAAAAACACATTACAAAGAAGTAGCAGTTACTTACGTAACATTTTTCTGTGTTTGTATTAGAATTAAGAAATGGTAGTCACAGTGATGGTGGATGCAATCAAGAAAATAAATATTTTTTCAAGAAATTAATTGTGGCACTGATAGAGGCAAAACATGAAACACCTTATGAAAGAATGATCAGGTTACCACAACAATACTCTAACGATCTACCCTTGCACAGTAAAAAAAAAAATTGGTGTTCAAATCTTAGAGGGAAACTATTTTTACACTAAACAGAAGCAATTTTTACTCTATATTTTCGATTGCCTGTCAGTCTCTATGAGGTCTTGATTTTGGCACTAAACTAAAAAATTGACTCTGAAAAGTTTATAGAGTAGTAGAGTTTAACAGTAATTTGGAGTGTAACCAAATGTTATCTGAAATAGAGTTTAATTTAACTCTAGGCGTTGAAGTAACACTTTGTTTTTTACTGTTTGGTCCTATGTGACATTCACTTAAAAAAACAAGCCAATGAGATGAGACTCTCCAAGTCAATGGATGTGATTCCCCTGCTTTGTCCATTTGATTTGATCCTTTTTAAAAACTGAATAATTATTTATTTTTTTATTCTTTGCAAGATCAATACTAATGCTGATAATTTAACACGTTGCAGATTATTTGGGTCCGATTCTTTAGTGCATTGTTGCTTCTTCTTCCCTTTACACGATAAAAATAACAATGATAAGGCAATGGATAGCAAATGGAGGGAGCTGATAACCTTCCCTAAGCCTTATGTGATCTTAACACATGGCTTCTGAATGCACTAATCAATCAGCAAACAAATGTACATATCGGCTAATGGTGAAAAAAAAAGAAAAAAAAAAGAATATCTTCCAAAAATATCAACATAGCTGATGTATCAGTCCATCTCTAATCTTTTACTGTTTCATAACTTTGTTTTGGTCAGTGAGTACCTAACTTCTTACTTGATGAAATGATGCATTTTGCTGCAAGTCAAAATGCATCATACTGGGAAGGTTGTTGCTGCAATTCCAGCTTCCTTCTTTAGTTAAGTGCTTAACCCCAACTGATCTACAGATTTCTGTGTATAAATGTGCACACCTTAGTGAGTGTGAAAATAAATAGTAATTGAACAACTGATCAATGTCCAATTAACCACGTACTTCAGCTAGCAAAACTTTTTCTTCCCTTTTTTGTTGTTTGTTGGACTCTACTAGGACTAAAATGCATGTCTAAGACTGTCCAATTCTTTGGAATGCCTGATTTTGTTTTTTGTCAAGATCTCCATTCGAAACAATAGATTCTGATTGTAAACTTGAATATAAAACATGCTACCTGGGATTAAAGACACGCCACTGCATAGTTTTGACAAAAAATTTTGTGATGAATCCAGCTAGGAAAGTATTTTTCCAGTAAGTTTTAGCTGAAAAGCGGTTCTTTATCTCAAACTGTTGGAGAAAATATAGTTCTTCATGGCCTGTCATAGAAACAGTCTACAGGAAACAAGTAAAATAATGAGAGCTGGACCTATCAATCAATGATTTGTGATATAAGGATAGTGCAAGTTCAATTCCTACTTTACTGCATTGTATGAGCCTGTATGGACTGAGTATCATCCGGGGATGCTTTAGTTGGTGAAAGCTACAATCAGAAGCTGTTTGTGCACAGAAAAATTAGGTCAGCTAGCTTCCATCTCCCAGCTGTCATCCGGCGATAGGCGGGGTACAGATCGCCACTACATTACAGGGGCAGCAGGAACCCACAGGACACATGTGCACTCTTTTTAAACTTAAAATCACCAATTACACAAAATACTAGAAAACTATCCATCAATTTTATCATATCCTCAGCTAATATCACTATATGCAAAGACCTTTAACTTTACTTAAGATGCACTAGAGATTACTTTTTACCGTAATTTGACTCTCTTAATATTGTTAATAATTGATTCCTGTGCATTATTATTACATACATTCTGTTTATTTAGTTGGAAATAGAGTTTTTAGAAAAACTCCGAAAGAAAGCAATTATAGGTCAGAATAAAAATGATAAATAAAAGCTGTTTGTATGTATAAAAAATATGTCCAAACTTAACATGTGCAAAACTGATCTACTAATCACCAGCAACCAGAATTGCATCTGTGACATTAACAAAATGGTTGGTGAAGTCCATTTAGCATGTTTGCCTTTATGTTAGCCTTTATTTATTATGCATTTTCGCTGAAGGCAAACCTGCATAGTCTGCTGTCATACAGTAGCTTTAATTTCTTATTCATAACTATGCAACTATTAAACAAACTTTTTTTTTTAATTCTTTTCCTTTTTTTTTTTTTTTTCTTTTTCTTAACTAAAAACTGTAAAAATGCTTATAAATGTTTTGTAAAAGTCAGTTTGAAATGTATATTCCATGATCATTTTGTCTTAAAGTATTTTTAAACCCAGTTGTTCTAGCTGTTTTATCCTTGACCAATCAGATGGTCTTCTGTTTCTGCACGTTCCCTCTCTCAAACTGTAAAGTGAAAAACGCTTTGCTGTTGCATATGAATCTTCATAAAAAACATCAGAACAAAAGTATTTTAGATGCTGAATACATTTGTTACTAAAAGGTTGCATTTAGACTAAGGTGACCAGATTTGTCAACTCCAATCTTAAATTAAAATAGGAAACTGGGACAGTGATGCTTTCATCCATTTTTACATATTTATTATTACCGGTATTTAAATAACAAAAATCAAGTGTAAAATCCAGGAATGCGCCTTTTCCATTCCCTACGATTAATCAAATTAATCAATAGATAGTGCACAAAGAATATATGTTTTTCAATATATATATAAATGTTAATTTTTTGGATGAAAAAAGAGGGAAATTCCTACAGACTTGATGCAAACTGGCCTGTTCCTGAACACAATGTTATGTTGCTCACAATGGAAGAGGGCAGAGAAGACTGACTGACCAGATGGCACTAATAAACACGATTGACTGATTAATATTGTTTGTCTTAGGAAATAGAAGAGACGCATTCCTGGATTTTACACTTTATTTTTGTTTATGCATTACATATTGAACATATTAAAAAATATGTAAAAATGGATGAAAGCATCACTGTCCCTGTTTCCGATTTTTTATTTTTATGAAATGTACATATTTTTATCTAAAACTGGAAATATCCCCATATTAGATAGCAGAAATCTGTTCACCTTAGTGTAAAGTCTGATTAAAAAATCTTATTAAGTTATCAATAAATGTTTTAACATATCATTTTTCTTGTATGCACCCAAAAGTGCCATAAATGATTTTAAAAATGCTGAGTTCTCTGAGTCCTGGCAACTAGCATTCTGTTGACTCTATCAGCAGAACAAGGCAACTCAAGAACTTTTTCCTATCTTACTTTAAAGCGTTTCAAGATGGAATCTATATAATTTCAAGGCTATTGGACCAAGCTTTTATAAATGTCACATAATGTTTAGATTTACTTCACCAGACTCACTTTAACACAAGAACTTGAAGAGATTACAAGTTGGCAAAGCATTTTTAAAACTTTATTATACAGAGATCTCCTGACCTGTGAATATAACTCTATTATTTTAAATAATCTGTTATTTAGACATTTAACCAGTTCAAGAGCTTCTCATTATTAGGGTCCATGCTCAGCACATCAGGGCTGGATAACTAACCTTTCAGCCTGCAAACACAAGACCAAGCTGTCACTCCCAATCACCATCAGAAAGAGATCGTAGCAAGGCCATTAGCTGTTTGCGGCATAGATTTAGTTTGGTCAATTAGACCAGCGGTCTCTTTATTAGTTTATGTTCACACATTGTTTCATGTCTATCAATTTATTACACAATGGTATAGTGACACTATTATCCATAAAAGTTTGTTTCTTCTAAGATGAAACGCCTGCCACCATGGCCAGGGTTAGTTAGGCCACAGAGTGTGATGGAGGTAGCAGACAGGAAGCATGGAGGGCCATTTAGATGAGCGGGAGTGTCACAGGAGAGAAGGACAGTGGCAAGCAGAAAGGGTGGGGGTGCAGTGTGCCACACTGACACCTGGTGCTCCAGATGACAGCTCTGCAGCCAGATGGACCTCATTATACACACAGTCATACACAAACATACCCACACATGTATACTGACATACAAACACATACTGTACACATATCCACAATTACTGCCAATCTTATAACACAAACTGGTAAACCAGTTTATTCAGATTTGTGTTGCAAAAGCGAGCAAACTAAGAGTTACATTGGGTCAGACTGAAATGATCCCGCTAGAGGGAACTATAATGTGCAGTAGATCATTTTGAATAATATGGTTATGCTGTTGTGGCAGGTTGAATCAGTGTTCAGGTTGCAATACGTAGGCATGGTGCTTGTGTGGTCATAGTGGGCAGATTAAAGAGACCCCATGGTGTTCGCTTACACTGAACATACCCTCCACTCTCCCCACCACCTGTCATCTCTATGCTTGTGAAACCTTCAGTCCACCAAACAGTCCCACTTTACCTAACTCTCTTAAAGGGGAAGGTCATTACAAAACTGTATTATTCTGTTGTAGTTTTCCTCTTTACCTCAGATTCCTTCTTATATTTTTTTATCATCTGAACATGATTGAATTTTTCTTTCTTATTCGAAGGCCAAGGACTGTCATTCATACAACTAGATTGTCTCTGTAGCTGTGAATGAAAACAATTCAAGCAATCCTTTCAGCTCACTAAGTGATAGCACATTTTCACAACTGTCTTACCTCCAGTGCTGCAGAGGGTTTCTTCTTCAGCTCCTCGCATTTGCGAAACTTGCAGATCTGGTGGCCTGTTTTTCTGTTCCGGCAGCTGCTGCACTGCTCGCAGTTTATCCGCCGTCGGCAAGGCGGACACATGCCGCAGCGTTTTCGCTTCTTTTTGCCGGAGTTGATGGCAGAGGCAAGCTCGCTCTGTGCCGGGTATTCTGTTAAACCGGCCATGTGAAGTGCGCTGTCCGCCAGAAAGACTCCGGCCGGCGTCATGATGAAAAGCCCAGGATTGAAGGGAAAGCCGCCCCCTACTCCATATGGGAAGTCCACGGGACCACCTACGGCATCCGCAACAGACGTACCCTCCAAGTCGCTTGTCCCCGAGCCTGAGTCTCCTCCGCCAACTCCCACTCCCATGCCCCCAGGCAGGAGCATGTGCTCCATACCGGCTCGCTTTAGCAGTGCTGCTGCCTGGGCAAAGTGCAGCAGGCCATTCTGTCCTTCCAGAACCTGTTCTAAGGTTCTGTCCAACTTGGCTGCTGTCAGTGTGGAAACAGTGGCTGGGGGAGCTGGGGGTGCTTGAGGCTTGGCCAAGTGGCTCTTCGTGGAGCTATTGTCCGTGTGTCCATTGGTGGCAGCAGAGGAGACTGCTGTATATTGAGAAAGGGTGCGAGAGTTCTTAAGGCTCTTGCTGAGAGGCTCGCTGATGATGCCGCTTCGATTTCTGCGCTCTATGACAGGAGAGTCCTGTTTGCAGCTACTGCGCTCCAGGTCCTCTGTCTGGGGTCCCTCCGACAGCCCACTAGACATGGTCCAGTGCGTATGTCCCTGGGTTGGGGGTGAGGGTGGAGAGGGGAAAGGGGTGAGCAATGAAGGACTTTTAACTGGGCCCGTTTTTTGCCTCGGTGGGAGTGCGACTTGACGTTAGTGGACCAACCGGCCAGTCAGCAAGAGACAGGCATCAAAGCCTTCCTCCTCCTCAGTAGCTCAGCCCTCATCCACGTCCTTACATTGGCCTTCAGGAAACTTTGCAGAGAGAAAAAAAAAAGCATTACATTAATAATCCCATCAACTTTTGTTCAAAAGCTTTTCAGATGGTTCTTTTCATTTTCCAGATTTTATTTCCTGGATTATTTTAAATCTTTGGAGGATTTGATGGACGGCTGGAAGTCCATCAAATCCTAAAACAATAAAGAACGAAGACGAATGAAAGTATATTTTATCATCTGTGCCTAGGCTGACTTTCAATTCACCAATGAGGCAATGGGCCATTTCAACATTTTCTGACAACATTGGGAATTGAGATCAGGTGAAATCTATAATAAATAGAAAAATCTAGACAAGATAACAATGGGTTGAATGCAGATCCTTCATAATGGTGTTTGTCATCAGTCATACATCATTAAACATACTTGCAGGTATACTTACCCTTTTTGATTTTCCTTTTTTTCCAGTTACTCAAAAAAATAAAATGATCAAAACTGAAAATATTGTTATAAAAAATAATAATAATAGTAGTTACTTAAATTGTATAGATAAACCAATTCTTATCCTATACTTAAGTAATAAGGTTAACGAGTCTGAAAGCTAAATTTTTTTTTATTCTCAAGTAATTTTTTTTTTCTCCTTCAGACTGAAAATTAAAAAAAAAATCATCAATAATTAAATCAATAACTGTGTAAGAACTTTGCTTTATAGATTCACAGAGAAAGTGGCCAGTGCCTAGAATTATTGACTGTCAGCTTTGCGGCCGTGCAGCACTTAGTGATGCATTTAAAATGTAGGAAAAGGAACACAGAGATGTAAGAAGCTATATAAAGAAAATCAGTTTTGTATGACACATAGAAATATGTCATTCTCACCAGAGAGTCAGAGAGAGAGAGCATGACTCTCAGAAGAAAACCAGAAGGCTGTTTGAGCAGACTAAAACTGCTGTGTTTCGGGTTTTAATATCTAATATGGACCATGCCAGAACTGAAAAGAATAAGGCAAAAAAAAATAATATATATATATATATATATATATATATATATATATATATATATATATATATATATATATTACCTATAGAAATTAGAATAATAATTTAGTTATAGCCATGATAATTACTAATATAAGATACAAAAGCCAGTTAAAAAAAACTGCTACTGCAACTTTAGAATACATGATTATGGAAAATCACAGATCAGTGTAGCTCCAAGCTTTTCTTTTTTCCTGTAATGCCCAATTGAGCATATTTGTGCCCCCCAGGAATATTTAAGCATTCCCCGTTAACTCAGTTTCAGCTCTGCTTTGGGGTTTCCCTTGCTTTTATCATGCAATTGCATTTAGTGTATATTAAGTTTGCCCTCTGCCATTTGATACAGAGTAAGCGGTGTCAAAACACTTTAGAGCATTTGGATTTAAAAGCTGTTCTGTATGGCTGAGAAGCAACATGATCAAAAGGTGTGAAATAACTAAAAACACTACAGATTTTACAGCAAATGACTAAAAAGCTAAATTAGGCTTCAGATACAGCAAATCCATTTGGTTCAACAGTAAACAATTTCATATTCTTACATTTAGTTTGATGTGGTTATTTAAACTGACTACACATTTTAAATATTTAAATACCTACAAGTTGAGACACAAAAGCAATGAACTTGATAAACCAGTGTTTCAAATACAAAATACAGATTTTACGTAATATATACTTGCGTGTTACCAGATTTTGCAAAGCAGGATATAGAATGAAACATTTAAAATGCAAATTTCATACAGTTATTCCTAATTATTGATTAATTTAAAAGGCAAAAACCTTAACAATAAGGGTGACAGAGAAAAGAGTTACCTGTGGAAGAGTTTCACTGAGAGCATTTAAAATCTTATCAAACCAAAGGTATTTGATGAAAATGTTGCTTATATGAACAACAGCTCTCATAACACCTCTTTTTTCTTTTTTTTTATGAATCAATTCATTAATCAAACCTTATGAACTCCTGTCTGATTAAGCAACATCTGCTCCCCTGCAGCTTCTCTGATTGGATAGCAAGGAAATTACAAGGTGGGGAGCCAAGTTCCTGCTATTTCAATATAATAAAATCTAATGAATTAATTTGCAGTGAGGACAATCATTTCCTTAATAAATGACTTCCTATCACAAGCAAAATAATTCTCACAATACGGTCCAGAAATTGATATTTTTGTTTATATCTTGCTGGAAATTCTGGCAGCACCTGGATCTGGGTCCAAACTATTCTCTTTTGTTATTTTTTTCTCACTTAAGGTTTCTACATTTTTTCAGAGACAAAATCTTTTTTCAGACTCAAATGTTCTAAAGTTTTCACAAGTATTTCATATTATCTGGATATTTGAGTTTTGTTTTACTACTTTGTTTTTGTTACTATCCATATATTCTATACATTAAAAAATAATGTAAGTGTGAGTTTAACTTCTGAACTTGTATCAGCCAAATTTTAAATTATTTTAACTGTTAAGTTATAAATTATATTAAACATTTTTTTATTAAAAGCAAAAAAAAAAAAAAAAAGATTGTTTATGAATGCAACCGCAGGTCTATTTAGAAGATATAAAGGATTTGTTACCAAAGAACTCAGGGAAATAGCTTTTGAAGTTTTTTCAATGACTTTAAGCTGGGAAAAACACTGTGCGATATTTTTTTAACCTTTGCACGCAGCTACAGCTCACACTGTATGACAAAACTGCAGGGTTTAAAAGTTCACAGCTCATGATGCGTGTTCTCACACTGTGCGACCCGACGCTCTGATGCGATCTACCTGCTTACGCTGTACGTCTAAAAACCAAGTCAGACTCAGCTCCGCAGTGAGATGGCGCTACTCGGACTCGTCTATCTGGCAGCCAAACGAGTAGAAGAGGAAATGACGCTCACTAGAGTGAAACGCGCTGCCTTGGCAATTTGCAATTTTGTGCTGAAAGCCCTAAGGTATTTGGACGAAGACATGGCTGAGCAAACGTGGCTACTGTACTACAGTCTGTCAATTTCCAGAAAGAACTCCATTTCACTTGTTGCACCCCTGCCATGCTTCTGTGTTTACATCTGAGAGGAAGAAGAAGAATCATGTTTGTGCATGCGCACTGAGCCATTTGCCCACAACGGCCGACTGAATTTCAAACATGTTTGATTTTCTCCCAGTCTTACGATTCATGATCAGGAGGTTGTCGTGAGAGGCTGATGGCACCTCGTAACCCCCTGTATACTATCAGATGCAGGACGCACGATCAGGCTGAAAGTCGATCGAAAAATTCAGATTCAGATTTTTATTATATCTTTTAGTTAATTTATCATCAAAACAATTACATAGATTTCCTTTGGTAAAAAGCAAAAAAAACTAGACTCTTCAAGGCTTTGCGGGAACCCTTTCCACTATACACTTACATACTTTTTTCTCTATTCCTTGTAGGTGTGTGGAAATGGTCACCTCTCCATCTGCTTCCATGCACTGTACGTTGAACTGGTAAGGAACATAACAGATGGCATTTCTGTCAAATTAGCTTTTGCCTACAAGAAAAACTTTGTCATCTATGATTGCATATTTATCCATGAAACCATCAAATGTTATTAACTGAACATTTCTTTTAAATAAACAGAAATAGAAAAAAATAAAAACAAAGCATATTAAGATAACTTTATCTGTTTAACATATTAAAAGTGTCATTCGTATATGGTTCATTTTATATTTCAATTAAACAAATCTGTTGCACAGTCCGCATCAAGTAAATACATTTTTATATGAGGCTGGTATTTTTCAACCTGTCCATGTTCACAAACAAGCGTACCACCTCCCACAGAAACGCAGAGGAAATGGCCGGGCGAATCCTTATAAGGGAAACAAAGGCAAAGAGAAGGGTGGAAAATGGAGGGGGGGGTTCTGTGTAGTGTGTGGAAATTGGAAGGCCAGAATTAGTGGGAGGTAAAGCTTCAAAGGCTAAAGCACAGCCCCCACATTTTCACCAGCTCAGGGGGACGCGGCGCCAAAGAACCAGAGCCAGCTCTGCAGCCCTTCAACCCCATAGTTTCAGTTTACCCCACTGCTGAACTGACCTGGGTCTGGTTTCCTAACAGCATCCCATTATTACCAAGATCTATGCACTGGAAATCAGAGCAATACATAGAAGTTATGTAGTTTGGGGTTACATAGTGCTGGAGCTCAAATAATGTGTCTTCAGAGGTGAGTAAATTGTGCTGAATAAGTTGATTTATTCTTTTATATAATCTGTAGAACATATTATCATCTTACTAAAACAGTGCTTAACTATGTCTTCAATCAACATCTAACTGTTTAAGTAAAGGTCTAATTAAATAAATATACAACAAGAAAATAATAATGCAGCTAATACCTTTTTACCTTTTAAGTAAAAACCTCAGTTTATTCAACCCTAGAACTAAGGCCGTGTTTGATGGTTGGGTGCTGCATGAAGAGAAGTTTGCATCATGTCTCCATATGAGTCTCAGGCCTCTATGGATATCATCAAATGCATTGCATTTAGTCAGCTCCTAAAGCAATGCAATGCTAAAGGTCAGGAATGGTCTATAGTATTAATATTATATGACTGTGTAACATCTATTATCTGTAAATATTTTAACTGATACAAGTGGTTTCAAAGGTACATTGGGTAAATTTAACAGGTAAACAATATTTGTTTGCTTTCCTATACAATCGCCCAAAATGTAAAATGAGCTTTCCTATATTTACAGTTGCCTCTTGGACAGTCCAAAATATTGATATTCTGAAAAGCATCAATACTCTAACGATATATCCGGATACAATACTAATTTGGCATAGTTTCGATTTGCAAGACAAGTTTTGTTGGCATATTTTTGTTATTCATTATAGAATTTTTGCACCTAAACAGAATAATACCTCAAATAACCTTCAAAAAATAGGAAATTCTGTTGTGATCATCTGTGATTCTGTTAAGAAAAATTGTTCAATGATAAGATTATAGATTTGTTTTTCATGTTAATAAAAATATTTTTAATTAATCATTTTAAATCCCATGGTATT